AACCGCTCTGAAAGCAGTCAGGCCTCCAGATGTAGGTGTTTGTATGTGTAAGTGAACAGCGGAGCTTGAAAATAAATTAATTGCTTCTCTTTTTATGGTGGCTTAGGTTAGTTGTTTGTTTTAGAAGCTGCTCCAACCAGGCCTGTCTGTTTCAGGGTATCAGTAGGATTCCTTTCAGTGCTCCACCAGCCGGCCTGAAAGCAGCTGAGAACGCTCCTGCAGACGGAGGTAGGTGCTTAGCTGAGTGTTTCCCCCTCCCCAGAGCCCCGCGGAGGCTGTCGCGCGCCGGGCAGCAGGCGCTGCCCCAGCCTCGTCCAGGAGCCCAGCGACGCTTTGGCAGGAGACCAGGGGCTCCTGAGCTGCCCGGAGCTCAGGCAGGTATGTGTGGGAAGGCGACGGTCCGCGGTCCTGCTGGAGCCCCCTTTGCGCGTCCCCCTGGGGCGCATGGATTGGCTTGGGCAGCTCTTCCTTGCTTGGGGAATATCCCCCCCGCCCCCTGACTTAACAAAACGTAATTAAGGGCAGCGCTGCAGTTCAAAACAAGAGTGCAGCTGCGATATATGGGAAGATCCAATAAAAGATTCATTAGAATCCTTTTAGTTATGGGAAGTCCTGATAAGGTGAAGGAGCCTAATGAAACTGAAGACCTGGTCACAAGAGTGATTCGTTTAAGAAAAAGAACAAAACCAAACCCAAATCCCAACCCCACTGACACATTCTAAAAATTAGACAATTAAGAGTAAAACCAGGAATGTAGCCAGAACTATTCCACCTCAAATAATAAACACAAGGATAAGTTGCCAAGTGAGGTCAAAGCAGCAAATGGTAAAGTGAGTTTAAGAGACAGCTAGACACTTTTATGGGGAGAGAGGGGATTGAAGGATACAGTGACAAAACTGGGGGTAGAGTTGAGATAAACCGCGCGGCTGGGCACACTGGTCAGCAGCCTCGAGAGCGCGGCCGGGCCGTGGTCCCGCGCGGAGAGCCCCGGGCAGACGGGCTGCGGCGGCCGTGCGAGGGGTGGGGGAACGGCCGTGCCGGCGTGAGGGGAAGAGGAGCCCGGCGGGCAAAAACACAGGTGCCGGGCTGGACTTCCACAGGCCAGCGGGGGTGCTGCGGCGGCAATGGCAGGTGCAGCAGCAGCGCGCAGTCCTGCTCCCGCGTGATGCTGCACGGGAGCCCGGTGCTGGGAAGGAGACGGAGCATCCTATACATAAAATGCAGTTTTCCGTTACGGATTGCTATGCAGACAGAGCAGCAGCTTCTGCTGCTGCAGAGAGCTCTGGGCAGCAGGAGGGGTGGGAGCACCGGGTGTCTCCCAGCAGCCGCGAGCGGCAGCGGTGTCGGGCCTGGCGCGTTAAGGAGAGCGGGCAGCGGGCACACTGCTGCAAAGCGGCCAGAAACCACAGAACCCACGTTTAAACACAAGCACTGAAAATCTTAAATTCAAGGTAAAATTACAAGCCTAACTGCACAGTAAAGGTCCATTGCAAAGGCGGATAGAGAGGGTTTTACCCACCGGCTGGTAGGCAGTGCAGCTGAGCCGCCCCCGGGTTTAGGCTAGGAAGGTTTCTGAGGCGCAGCCGCTAGATGGCTCAGCCCGGCGCTCGGCCCGCGGGGCCAGTTTGGATCCCGCAGCGCGGTCACAGCCAGGGGATGCCCTGCGCACAGCCCAGAGCGTGCGCACAAGCCCAGGCTGCGGGCTGGCCTGTTGCTGCTGTTGCAGCATTTATCCAAGGGAATCGGGGCGGTCAGCAAGAATTACTGAGTTTTTAAAAGGTGATTCTTAGGTATTTCAGCCTGGGGCCTTCTGAGGCTGCTGAGCCCTGTGGTTCTTGCTCTGAAGAGAGACTCTCTGCAAAACCCTCGCTGCTCAGTATCTCCAGAGCGCAGAGATTCTT